CTGGGAGGAAGGGAGTACTTACGAAGTAATGTTCATCAAGGAATGTTTTACTTTATTGTTTTATTAGCATTATTATTCTAGTATACATCAAGCTATCTTTCTCAGCTTGAAAACTAGATCTCAAAGACACTTATAGGTTATGTATCATATTGTTATAGGACACACGAACAAAAAAATCATGTCTGGGACTAAATAATAACTAAAAATATTAAATCTTGTAATACAAAAATCAATTATTACACCGAGTTTTTGAGCTTTCTAGAAATACAACAATATCATACACATGTAATGCAACTAAAATTATCAGTTTACTGCTCAAAACGCTATTATTCATTATAATTTACGTTGATTGATGTGAATAAGCACAAACAGTGCTACCAGGATTATTAATCAGAAGGTTAATGGTTCGAGTCCCGTTGCTGCAAAAATCCGATTCATACTTTAAGAGTGGCGTTTAAAATCCACTTTTCGGTCAGGCGAGAGTAGCTCAAAAGCTGGCGTTGAATGCCTTCCCTTTATTCTATCAGTTCAAGATTAGGAACAGCTATGCAGCAGATAGCCCTTCTGTAGCTTTGCATAAAAATTCTAAAGTAAGCAAAGAAACACAAATTATGCAGTTATTATAACTTTTCAGTTGCTCAAAAGCATCATAAGAGCCAGCCAGCTATACAAGTTTCACTTCCACTATCAAATCCATATCTATATATAATTTTATATCAAAATAAAGTAATTACTTCTTACATGATTTTGTCCATCTTTAATTATTTTATTTTGTGCTTGAGCCTCAAAATACCAACTCGTTTGTATACTGTTCATTAACAGTGATGTCCATAGTGATAGTATGTTCTTACCAGTGTAAGAATTCATCACAAAAAGAATCGAGTGAAATTATTCATTTTCTACGTAAACTTCGTAGTTACTCCAGGCAGTATGATTAACTGTAGTATTGATAATATCTATACTTACATTTTAGTATGCGACTCATTGAGTGTAACCATCAAAGTCATGAAGCCACGAGTAATTTGGTGCATAAATAGTTTAGATTTTTTTGAAGTCGATGGATCCCATAAGAAATTCCAGGGTTAATCAGTTGAGTGAAGAGTAGTATAATTATGAAATCGAATCTACCTTTTATATCGAAATGAAAATAGAAAAATTAAATCCAAGAATAAAACTGAAAGTCGGAAAATCTGAATTATCTGCTTTTCTTCTTTATCTTTTTTACCTTCCACTTTGATATACAGTACATTAAGATTTTTTTAAAAAGGCGAGAAATATTACTTTTATATATATGCACATGTGCACATGCCGGTGTTAAGTTTTACAAGCAAGGGTCTCTTTCTTTGTGTTTGAGTATTTTTCTACTTTAACGTTCATGACAGACAGTTTTACGCTCAATTAATTCCAAAATACTTTTATTAGAAAGCAAACAGAAATTAAAATCAATCATAATAGGCCAAAGTTTGCGAATAATTGATCTTGGGCAGATGGTTTGGACTTTTAGAACTCCATACAATTAGAAAGTTCTTAAAAGCCCGCGTCAATCCACGTTGTTTAGCTGTCAAAAAAATGTCCATTATATAAAATTTAATGACTTTCTGCGAATCTCCTTTACGTGCTTTGATAATCGTGAGCGGCTCATTTAGTTGGGGTTTTTGTAAATAATGAGTTTCCTCTACAAACAAAACGAAAAAGTGTTTCAAAAAATTAAGTTTTACTGGTCTATGTTGGTTATCGTTCTATAATGCCATGTATAAAAAAAATGATCACTTTATTAAATATACTGAGAATTCAAGCACAATGCCACAGTTACAAATGAAGTTCCCACTTCCAATGAATGACCTGTTTTCTCTAGAATACATTTGCTTAATTTTTTTTTATCGCGATAAAGCATCTAATAGTAGTTGATACAAATTGCTTTCAGTAAGGAAGTAAAATCTGTAATTTGACTAAAATCTCGTAGTCACAATAATTGGAATTAATGACCGATGTTCGTGACGTTGCCTATTGAAATATTGCATAGTGTAGATCAGTAATTGAACAAAAACTATCATTCTAAGATATATGTCTAACGATAGAAGATATTTCTGATCACATGCAATATCAACTAGAAAGAAGTTAACGAAGTATAATAAAGAGCTTTACAGTTGGTAATAAGTTATTTAGTACGATAAACATTGTAATAAACAGCTTTACAGTAGGCAATAAGCTACTTCGTAGGATAAACATTGTAATAAACAACTTTACAGTAGGTAGTAAGTTATTTAGTACGATAAACATTTTACAGTAGGCAATAAGCTACTTCGTAGGATAAACATTGTAATAAACAACTTTACAGTAGGTAGTAAGTTATTTAGTACGATAAACATTGTAATAAACAACTTTACAGTAGGTAATAAATTATTTAGTACGATAAACATTCTAATAAACAGCTTTATAGTAGGCAATAAGCTACCTCGTAGGATAAACATTGTAATAAACAACTTTACAGTAGGTAGTAATTTTTTTAGTAGGATAAACATTGTTAAGTTGTAAGCTAACTGTACCTAAGCAGCCACTATGGGTTGAAATGTTCTTATTTCTCTTATTAAGAATCTTTCCCTACCGTTTATTACTCTATAGTGAATTGCCCAGTGGGATCCTAATCTCCTAATTATGGAAATAAAATTAGTTCGTCAAGACTACACGTCGAGACGTAATTTAAACATAATAACGCCCAAGAAAGACACACAGTTGAACATGAGATCCTTGTTGTGATAAAAGTTCATGTTATGTTCACACATCGGTCGTATGTTTAATAAATATATGATATCAAATTAAATGAAATTACAATAATGACGGTTTTTTAAATTTTGCAGTATTGAAAGTGCTACGAAGCTTCTTTTACTTGTAGTTAACTTATTTAGAAATAAACCAAATGGTAATTTTGTGGTCTTACCGGCGAAGTCGTTATGCTGTCTAACCCTCATGTAGTGAGACAAGGCACTCAGGTAAAAGACAGCCGAGAGGAGTTCGGCTCTTCCAACTATACCGGCCACCTGTGAGTAACAATAATCAAAATTAAAACCGAGAAGAAGAAATAGACATGAATATCAATATTGACAAAAATTACCATAAAATCATTTGCCATTTGGTAGAAGTGCGAAATTTTATATTTGAGTAATGTGGTATTCTTTCAAAAAGTCTGAAAACAGGCTCAGTTGGTAAACCAAAGGCTTTTATTCGGATCTTCGAACCTTGATGAGACTGCACTTTCCCACATTTGCATCAGTGGAGAGATTATTGTGTTTTTCTAAATTATCTTCAACCCCAGCACAAGTTTCAGAAACTTGTGTGATTTATTTTTATATTGCAAGTCTGTCCGTATGTTTCGTGAGACTGGTAGTGAAAAAATTAAACAATATTTACGTTCGACAAAAGACAAACATACTTGTTTTGTTAACCGAGTCGCTAAATTCTAAACACTCCAATATATCTTTTTCTCTACATATTCAAACTCTCTTTGATAGGTTTGAAATATTTATGAACTGCCTGGAGTGTAGGCTTCATCACAAAGACCAAAACGTCCTAACCTCAACACCATTCAGACACTTTCCACTAAAACTTCAAATCCAATACAATCTGCTTTGGGAGTGTAAGAATGTAGTCCTCATCACACAAAAACATTCTCCATTAGTCAGATACTATCCATAAAAACTTCAAATCCAATACAAGCTGCTTGGAGTATGGGAGTGTAACATTCATCACAAAGAATGAAACGTCCTACACTTCAGTCACATACTGCACATACAAAATTTAAATCTAATAAAATATGTTTTGGTCTACATTCTTTTTAAATACATATTTTTTATTTAGATAAATTATTGTAATATCAGCAGATTATACAGATCATATGTACTTGTAGTTTTGTATAAAGCTTTCTCAATGAGAACAACGGTCTGTCACATCAGAAGTATATAGAAACTTACGTGACTAATAACATTATCAGATCGAAACAGGGGAGGAACATGCAGCGAGATCTGTATAAAATAGATGTACACAGTGAAAGCAGAAAGAAAAAACCTGCGTTGCGAATAGAAAAGAAACCTAAACATTATTGATCACGCAAAATGTCTTGTTAAAGCATACATCCAATTCACGTCACACGAGTCACATCATTGACAGCCCCCATATATAATAATACACGGATTTGTTTTCAATAGTTCTTTTCAGTAAAAGTCTTCATATACAAAATATGTAAAACATTATACAATCTATCACTGAAGTAAAAGCATTATATCTATATTTGTATACAATAACATAAAACTGCAAGATCATGTCTGACTCGTACTCATTTATATTACCGATAATGAGTAATGCCAACCGATTGAGTGCTGACGACGTTATTACCATTCTTTTTATGAATATTTATTTTGATAACATAAAAATCAACACGATTACATAATATAAAGTTATATGTGTAACTTAAGTTGTTTAATTTCCAACCATCATCATTTGACTTCCTTAAGTATATTTCTTTGTTATTAAAGACAAACTACGCAATGGGCTATCTGTGCTGTGCCTACAACGGATATCAAAACCCGGTTTTTAGCATTATAAGCCTTCAGAAGTGATGTACTAGAGGGAAGCAACAAACCAATTCCGCTCATTTTGGGCTACTTTTTTCAGACCAAAGAGCGGGATTTTGAAGAGCATTTTTTTTAATGGTAACAAAACGTCATTCATGGAACCTTAGATCCACAATCCGGCACGGAAGATGATATAAATATTAGACATTGACTTTTTTTTTCCTTTTACATATAGAACTTAATTATTATGATATAGATATTAGACATTGACTTTTATTTTTCCCTTTTACATATAGAACTTAATTATTATGATATAAATATTAGACATTGACTTTTTTTTCCTTTTTCATATAGAACTTAATTATTATGATATAAATATTAGACATTGACTATTTTATTTCCTTTTTCATATAGAACTTAATTATTATGATATAAATATTAGACATTGACTATTTTCATTTTTCATATAATTAACAATATAGCTTTGAAGGCGAAGTTTTATAATCTAAAAAATAAACAAACTAGTTAAAAAATGAACACTTCTGTCCCTTCCGCTGACCATGTTTCTCTTTTTATTTATCACGCTCATAAAGGCACATAGCTGTAATTCGGTTTTATTACGTTACTACTGCTTTGAAAAAGAAGTGACATTTGATAACGACACTCCTACTAGGAAAGCACCGACCATCATGCTCCTTTAATTAAAGATTAGAGAGATTTCAACATCTAACGCACTGTCTTGCAGATTAACTTGGATGGATCTCTGCATTTATAGAGCTCAAATGATTACCATACACAACATATAATCGGTCGATTTTGCATATGCAAATGAATGAAATGCTCTATAAATGTTTATGATGAGATCTCATAAAGTAGCCAGTCAGTGTATAATATTATCATTTTACTAAATTAACGTAGCTGCTGCTACAAGACTAGCAACACGAATTCACTTTGTGATAAACGTCTTTAAGAATAAAGCATCAGAAATGTTGGAGTAGAATAGGCATAAAAGACAAATAAAATGTCAGGAAATTATACAGCTTGTGCAAAAGTTAGGTTATTCCATTGACTTATGTCATTGATAATGTTTTATTACTTTCTGAATTATATATAAATTATATACTTTTTTACTTTACAGCAACCGTAATATAATGGAAATTTATAGTTTCTAGAAATTGCTCGAAAACAAATAATTATGAAAAGCATCTTTTTTTTTTTATAAAGGTTTGTTTTTGTAGATGAGGCAAAAAAAATCACAAGAAATAGATTCCTACACTTATTTATTTCAGCAATTCACATCTTTTCATGATAAATAGTATTGTCTACAAGGTGTTATAAATTTCAATATGATAATGCAAAATCTGATTATAGAAAAGGCTGGAGAATTCTGGATTTTAGGTGAACATTCTCAGAGAGATGAGGCATAGAATTATCGCTGTCATTACCAGTAAGTCAATATGGGAAAAGTAAATAGCTATCTGAGGATACCAGAATATTTCCAAGTATCTGAGTATCTCACTTTCAACTATTTTCCCCTGTGTCTGGTAGAAACAAGGTTCTTTCACCAAGAAACAAGTAGAATCATTGTAAGGAAGGTTAAGAACAATTCGATATTGGCTACCAAAGTGAACTGGTTACAAGTGGGAATGAGATTCCCAATTTAACCATAGGTCGAGTATTGCATGAGGTCTCAATGGTTACAAGCCAAGGTAAAAAGCCACTATTAAGAAAACGTCACGTATATGAGCTCTGACCAAAAATCGAGATATTCGATCACGTTGATATTCGTTACGTTTGAAGATAGTCTGGTGAGGCATATAACGAAAAGTTTGTTTGTTTGTAATTAAGCACAAAGCTACAGAATGGGCTATCTGTGTTCTGCCCACCACGAGTATCGAAACCCGAATTCTAGCGTTGTAAGTCCGCAGACATACCGCTGTGTCACTGGGGGGGGGGGCACAACGAAAATATCACCATATCTAGTGTCAGGCATGGAGATAGTAAAATTCTTTCATGGAGCTATTTTTTTCTGTAATGGCACGTGAAATTTGGTTTCTATACATGATAAAATGGATTTATATTGGTCAATCATCTGAAACACTCCACTTGGTTTAAAGCGCAACTTAACATTCCAATATGATAAGGATTTAAAGCACATATCAAAATCTACTTCAGAATTATCAAAGAAGAACCAAATAAAGGTTATGGAAAAGTCTAGTCAACGTCACGATCTAAATCCCAATGAAAATATTTGTCATGAGTTGAAAAAGACTGCATACAAGAGAAGTCCTCAGAATTTGAATGAACTAAAACAATTTTGTATTGAAGAATGGTCAAAAATCGTTAAAGTATCACGCCCAAATATCGTTGACAAATATCCTTATTGTTTAAAAAAGGTTATCGTTGTTAAAGGTGTCTCAACTAGCTACTAATTTAATTTTACTTCTCAGCACATGAATATTTTCAAATTAGCATGTTTGGTTTGTTTGTTTGTTTGTTTGAAGTTTAAGCACAAAGCTACACAATGGGCTATCTGTGCTCTGCCCACCACGGGTATCGGAACCCGGATTTTAGCGTT